GGATAGGGCTTTTCATCACCAAAACTCAAGATAATTAAAATGTATATAATGTTGAATTGTACCTTCATCCCATCTGGGCAAGTAGAACACAGAAGGGTTAAATTAGTGTTCTGAGAGCCCTAAAAAGCAGGGCTGTCAGAAAAATCTTTGGTTATCAAACTCAGCAGGTTTAATGTAGTCCTCGTGGGGACCTTCGTGCTTAATTTGAAGCCAGATCAAGTAGAGGAGTGAAGTTTTTAAGATTTCTATATAGAAGCGAACTAATTTTTCCACTAGGCAAACTTTGTGTATTTTTCAAAAAAAAAGTATTTTTTAGGGATTCCTGGGTAACAGACTATTTAGTTAGAAACATAAAGCTACTAAGACTAACAGTTTTGACCCAAGTCATCTAAAAACCCTGAAGGGTTTTCTTATGCCTATAATTTATAATTTAGTGCTGAACAACAGATTCTTGTGTTGTCTCTCTAAATCAATAACCGTTAGCACAATTCAACATAAATTCAAAGCATGTTTAAGATATGTTCTTGGAGACGTTTCTTTGCATTCCAGGCTAACCTAGTACAAAGGAAACCTTTGTCTATAGAATTTCAGAAACCAAACTGCTGACACACTGAAAAGTTAACACCTATAAAATGATAAATAGCATGACAGTTACAATTGCGTTAAAAATTTAAAAGCATCATTCTAAAGTTTTTAATGGACGGTCTTCAAGTCCACTGAAAGCCTAAAAATTCAATGATATTTTGATTGTAATAGAGAATCTAATGAGATCAGTTATAAATGAAACGGCAGATATACTAATAAAGTGTGTAAAACATCAGGGTACAGCAAAAGTCTTTCCCCTCCACTTAGGTAGTTAGTTCTCATCCAAAACAGGTCTAGCCACATCATTCTCAAATTCTTAATCATGTTTTGTGTTGACTGATAGTCCACTGTTAAAAATTGTCTCCTTCCTTTCCTCCTTATTTTTATGTTTTTCCCTCCCTCCTTTCCTTTCATTTATCCCACTTTTCCTACTAAGCTTCTTTCTTTTCTCTGAGCATTTATTTATTGCAAACCAATAAAACCAACACCCCAGTAAGTTATATACCAAGCACTGTCTGAAGTTCTTGAGATACAGCAGGGACTCAGCTTGTCAGGGGTCCTTCTCATGAGCAGTGACTTGCCCTTACTTCCCTTTTATAAATATTTCTCCAGGGGCAAGTTCCAAACCACAGCGACCCTGTGTAGGGTTTCCGAGGAGCAGCAGGTGAGTTTGAACCGTTGATTTTGTGGTTTAAACTGAGTTTGCGGTCCATTGCTTATCGTGCAGCGGTAGAGAGTTGTTATTGTTGTTATGTGCCATCGAGTCGGTTCCGACCCATAGCGACCCTGTATAGGGTTTCCGAGGGTGTAAATCTTTATGGGAGTAGAAAGCCTCATCTTTCTCCCGCGGAGCAGCTGGTAGTTTCGAACCGCTGACCTTAAGGTTCGCAGCCCGATTCGTAACCACTACGCTACATTCATTATCTTGCATGTGGATTTGTTTATCGGAGTCCTTTACTCCATAGCAGCAGCTGTGACGTGATAGCAATTTCCAGAGGACTGGATAGGATCGGGCACATGTGCTTGTGGAAGTGTGTGTATCTGTGTGGATGAAGAGTCTGAGTCACTGTCGTTTTCAAGGACTGCCACGCATGTCTATGGAGTGCTGGCATGGTGCTGTGGGCTAATGCACTGCACTGCAAAGTGTTTTGAACCACAAGGTCAGTGGTTCAAGCTCACCAGCCATTCCTTGGAAACCCTATACAGGGTAGCTATAGGTTGGAACTGACTTGATGGCACGTAACAACAACAGTGCATGCCATATTGGGATCCTCTTTTTTGGTCCTAAGAGCCTAATACAGAGCCTGGTCACATAGTAAGTGTTCAATAAACAGCTGACTGGAGACTGTGGGCAAAACATGATGCCTGCAGCCATCACAAAGGGTGCCCTTTTCTGTCCCAGTGATCTTTTTTCTCATTCCTACTTCCCCATGCTAAGGAGCCCTAGTAGCACTCAGCTGTGAAGTGAACCATTGGTAGCTAAAACCCATGCATCAGTCCCCTGGAAGAAAGGCCTGAGATCTACTAATGTGAAGACCGCTGGTGGTGTTCAGTGCTATCACTCAGTTCTCACTCACAGCTACCCTGTACAGGCTTTCCAGGGAGTGACTGGTGGGTTTGAACAGTCAACCTTGTGGTTATTCTACAGTGCCACCCCAGGACCCCGTGGAAAACCCTCTGGGGCAGTTCTATTCTGTCACATGTGGTTCCTATGAGTGAGAAATGACTTCAAGGCACCTAACAACTCCCTCACTTTACACATTTTCAGACTCATCACACCTTATCCCAGTTTCTGAATTGTACACTTAGACACTGGGCTTATCCTAAAAGGTCATCAGTTCAAATCCACTAGCTGCTCTTGGAAACCCTGTACAAGGTCACTAAGAGTTGGAACCCACCTGACAGCACAAAACAACAGTAAATCCTAAATAATAATAATAAATGTTGGCTTGAGATGACTGTTCTCTTCTCAAAGGCACTTGTAATGTAATGGGTTGGGGAACTTAGACTTTTCCAAAACAATGGACAAGAGTAGACATTAGAGGTGGCTGGCCCCCAGGGCTCTCACTGCACTTGCTCATTTTCATTTCTAGGCTCCAAAGCCCAGCAGCCCCATAGCACAGCACATCAGCCCACTTGCAGGTCCTGCTCTTGCAGCTAGCAGGGTTTCCACTGTGAAGCATATTTGTATTCCTGGTCGCTGAGGTCTGATTACAACTTCACGATTCGTCTCTGTGTAAGTTTGATTATACTTTCCTTCATTCTCTGTAATCAAGCTCCAATTGCTACAGATGCACTGCAGAAGGTGAGGAGTGAATGTGCAAAGAAAACTTGCTTCCCAATCTTGGGGGGGGGGTGTCTTTTTTGGTAACTCAGATCATCAGGCTGCTCCTCTTCTGTGGCCAGATCTTGCATTATATGCCATTGTTAAATACTAATAGGGAAATAGGGAAACCTTAAAGGATGATCTCTTGCAAGACAACAGGTGGCCACTGAAACCTCCAGCTCTGATTGGTGGAAAGGTGCCCAGTGGCCCAGAGAAAGGGCCTCCACTTGGGAGTAGCAAGAACTTACTCAATGGGGTGTTGTCCTGATAATATCTCAGCTCACTGCCAATTTGTGCAACCCGCTGGGCCATTAGGGAGTACCGCTGAGTTGTCAACTTTAAATGGAGACTCTGGAGAGGAGACCAAAGCTTTTTTAGGGGGGGGAGGGGATTCGGAGTCAACTGAGGGACAAAGTGAGTAGTTGTTCCTTTCCTGAATACACACACCACACTCTCTGTGTCCTGAACACAATCAAGTTTCCCCAAAGAGAAGAGCAAATGACACAAACTTTCATCTAATTGAAAAAAGAACACCCCTCCCCCCCCCCCCCCAAAGATAGACTCATAAGCAGGTGTCAGAAAACCCAAGTTTCTAATTTGGAGAGCAGAAGAAATTCAAAGAAACCCATGTAATGCTTGTCTGAAAAAGTTCAGGCCCTGGGCCAGCAAAAGTGTGGTCAGGGTACAAATATCTTAATGAGGGGCAGATGGAGTATTAGTAAATCTACTCTTTGCTCTTAAAGATTTGGGAAGGGGACAGGTTTCACAGCCTCTACCTAACGTTCTCATGTAATGTAAAGCTCCTTCCCTTCACCACAGTTTAGGGCCAAACTCTCAAATGAACTCAGAGCAATAAGCGGATGAGAGAAAATAGACGTAGCTTTAAAGACAGAAAAATGAAGTCAAGTGGGGGTGGGTGAGCGCAGTGTGGGGAAGTTAATCACCCAGAACCTTTTAGGAAAATGGGGACATTTTCTCTCCGAGAACAGTGAGTGATCCCCCTAGATCAGTTACTCAAATGCCTTCTGAATAAAAACAAGAGCACAGAAAATACGAAGAGAACCGACCCAAGGCTTAACCAGGGAAGCTTCAAGTCTGCCTACCTGTGAAAGGTCAGGCCCCACCACCCCTTCTGGAAAGCACAGGTGTACATGCGGTCCCGGGGCCCCGGCTACGGGGAGACACGCGTGCAGGTTAGCTGCCGAGTTAGGTGCCTTCAAGCAAGGGACATGGGGGGATGGGGGGGGCAAGGCGGGGTAGGCTACAAGGACCAGGGCTCTGGCACTCACGGGGAAGTAATGGGGTGCAGGAGGGGAAAACGATGGAAAGAGGAGCGAGAAGGATGCGGGTGGTGGAGCTGGGTGCCGAGGACAGCGGTAGCCGGAAAGCCAGAGGGAGGGCCACACTGGGCACTGAGCTGGCGGCAGCCGAGGGGCCGGCCGAGGAAAGGAGGGGAGTGAGAAGCGCTCCGAAGCAGCGGGGACAAAGAGGACCGGAGAGGGAAGGGGGTGAGGTGGGAAGAAGAGGGGCCAGGAGAGGGGGAGGCCGCTACGCGGGTGATGGGGAAGGCGAGGGCTGAGCGCCGCGCGGGGTGAGCCGAGAGGGGCCGCGCGGGGCAG